AGGCAGATAAACAAAATGAAGTATGTATGCTTACATAGGAGACATGAAGAAGAGAATCAAATGAATAGATCAATCGTTAGGTATTTTTTACTAAGATCAAGATTTTGAACAAAGGGAGAAAAAGAAGCAATTGTAATTTTAATCTTAAAGTCAACACTGGCAGTAATGGCTGCCTAGCTGTCTGCATTAAAAATTCACATCACAGAGATTAAGGTTATGAAAGTCCTTCTTTAGAAATAAAGAAAAGACCCCATGAGAGACCTAGCTTTCAAACACATTCTATGCCAGGATTTATGATGTGTGACATTCCATCAGGGCATGAGGATTGTACTAGACCTGGGCCAGCACTTTTGTAAGGTACAGCAGTTCTTTCAAACTGAAGGAGTCACAGGCCACATCTAGTAAATTATTGATTTAATATATCATATTGCTCTTTTGTGACCTGTAAGAATTCATCACTTTTAAAAGTACTGAACTTGCTTTCTGAGAAAAAAATTAAACATTATATAATAATTTTCATTATAGGGTATATTTGGTAATAAATTATGCATTGCACAAGTAAGAAGGCAGATTGAAATTGCAAGTAGCTTGAGGCTGTGTTTCATGTATTATAAAATCCCTAAGATTCAAGTAGTACCTCTTCCCTGTAAATGGTCTGAGATCCTTCTGTTTCACTCGGTGGGAAGATTCCTCCTCCTTCCCCTCCATCGTCTGCTTTTCCTCCTGCTTCTGACTGTCATCATCCTCATCTTCCTCCTCCACCCCACACACATGGTCAAGCCACCGCGGGAAGTATTTTCATTGGCTGGCTAGAAGCCGGAAGACTCAGTTGCAGGCTCATCCCCTGATTTCCCTGGGAGCACCACATCTGTCTGTTCCATCACTGCTCATAGTTCAGGAGCGGAGGAAGCATATACAGTATAGTTACAGCATGGGCACCTCTTACTTATACACATCAAACAATAAATTTCAGCCAAAAATTTTTTAAAAAGTGGACAGAGAAAGAGAAAAGAGGAAGAAGAACACATAACTAGACTGTGTGGCTGGTTTCGCTTGCTCAATGGGGGAATACTCCAGAGTGAGTAAATGTTAGGATGGATTTGCTACGGTGAAGTGATACACATTTTGCTGTTTGCTATTTCTTCAGTGGAACTCAGTATCCATGTGGCTCTCATACTGTAAAAATCTTATCCTTGGATACATTTCTAATGTTTAAAGATACATAATCTTTCACATAATAGTAGTGATTTTAATCACAAAAGGAAAAATAGGTTTACCACTATATGGACTTATTAAGAGAGGGTTTGTCTCAATTCTGCCTTGGATTTAGATGAATTTCTGGGATTATTTCAACCAAATGAAATGTTTGTTTTATGTGCTGACTATGAACACCATTTTATAGGGGCCTGATCTTGCAAGCATAGTCCATTTAATCATCCAACTGACATTTATGAGGACCTACTATTTATCAAAACTGTTCTAGGAAGAGAAGAGTTGCTAAGACTTGTGTGTTAGAAAAATAACTAGCAGTGGTAAGAACTTTTGGAAATGAGGTGAGCTGGTTACCCACTGGAAGAGTTCTTGTGGAAATTGTTGGGAGTCTGGACTGTGGCAGCTACCTTGGCAGACAGGAGAGAGAGGCTGATAAGCTACATAGGGTGCAAGCTACAAATCAATGATGTATTGGACCCCAAAAGTCAGGGAGAGAGTATCAAGAATAATGGCACTTTATAATAGGCTAATTTTTCATTTTAAATCTTTAAAATACTTTGGCTCTAAAACCACTATGTTTCTATATGTATACATAACACATAGTTCCATGGTGATACAAAATCATAATTGATTACAGTCAATAATATAAATGCTAGAATCATTGCCAAAGTGATAGCACATTTTAGAATCATCAACCTGGCATTTTGCAAAGTGTCCTGGGGAACATTGGTCCTGTGAGATGTTTCACTGAACAGTCTCCATGATCAAATAAGTTTGTAAGAAAGAGCATGATATTCCCCAAACTTTATTAAAGTCTCAATGAAGTCCTATAGGAAAGAACCTTGTTTCTTTTATCCATGTATTTCAAAAACTTAGTTAACCATAGGACCGTTTCTTCCCATAATTCATGGGCTCTACAAAAAATGCTATTAAAATGCAGATTTAAGGTATTTGTCTGGAGAAACAATAGGTCCACATGTGTAAATCAGATAGCAAAAATAAGCGTAGAATTAAAAGCTCTGGCTTCCTTTCATCTTCTACTGATCGTTAAACAGGGCCAGAAAGATAAAGGCTGCCCTTTTCTCTACTAGCCTACAAGATGAAATTAAAACAGGGAGAGAGAATGTGAAAAGCATTTAGGAATCAATATTAGAAAAATTAGTAAAGTTAGCTTGACTTAGTCATTATTTCATTTAGATTTTAATAAATATAAAACAGATTACAATAAAACTATCTTAATGCATAGCTCATTTTCCCCTTTTTATGATATTGATATGCTACATAAAATATTTTCAGTCATTACAGTATTCAGCACAATTGAGTATGAATTAAGCCATGCTGTAATCACTGACCAGATGAAACATAAAATTACTGCTACAGTACAAATAATAGAATCTAACATAATATTAGTAAGGATGTGGCTATATGCAGCCTCATATATATTCATCAATGGTTTAAAATGAAAACCTTTATTTTTTGTATTTTTAAATTCTATTGTCAACATAAGCTAAATGTCCTAATTATGCAAAATAAAATATACAGAACAAATTGAGCTGTCAGTTGCACATTAATGTGGAATGACAGAATATTCATGACTAAGTCACAAAGCTAAACTTCAATCAGAAGCTCTCATTGCTATTCATACTTTCCAAATTTAAAAATAAGAGTTTTGTCACATACATGCTAAGTATTGTAATTTTGGAGCACCTTAAATCAGAAAGGAAGTTTAACATAAAACATACTACTTATCCTTGAATGATTATCTCAGAGTAACATTATCGGTTGAATAACATTATCAGTGCTGAAATAAGAACACACCTGACTAATTTCAAACAATAATGAGTGATGAGAGTGATGCACCTTTGCTTATTATCATCACTGTCAATTTGTTGTTATTCTGGGGAGTTCTAATTTTAGTATCTTTAAGTCTAACTAGTTATTACCATTTTATGGAAAATAAAAGAAAAAAAGGCAGAATTTATTAGCCACCATCACAATACAACATGCTGTTATGTTGTGTGTGTGTGTGTGTGTGTGTGTGTGTGTGTGTGTGTGTGTTTAAATACATTGCTATATTTTAAACTTTGGTCAGGAATCAATAAAAAAGTTTCACTTTTTCAAACATCCGTGCCTCTTCTCAAGCCACATAACACACCCGGTCCAGTTCTCGTCAACTGGAAGGTCAGGCATTACCTCCAATAAATCACCAACATAAACCCAAACCTTTGTCTCCTTCAGCCCTTCGCTTAGGTATGGAGCATGTCACTTATGCCTCTTATAACTAGTCACACCGCTTTTGTTGCTGATCTCATCTTCTCCAAGCCTCCAGGTCAGTGCCCCCATTTCCCTTTGTGAAGACTCCTTCCCCATTAAACAAAACGACATTAACAAAAACTCAGTGAGCTCTGCGACTGCCCCCAGCTACTCCCTACATTCTCCTTCCCTGTATGGTTAAGATTCCGATTACTTTTGAATTTCTCTATGCACCACTTGTTCTTCATCCAACTGCAGTCTAGCTGCCTCCTCTCTACTCTGTGTCAAGGGTTAGCAAACGTTTTCTGTAAAGGGCCAAATGGCTTTTGGGGCTTTGCTGGCCACATGTCTGTTACATGTTCTTAGTTTCTGTTTTGTTTATAACTCTTTAAAAATGTTAAAACCTCTGCTGGCTTGGGCTGGATTTGGCTTTCTGGCTATAACTGTTAGAAAGCTGCTCTGGTTGAAACTACTGTATTAATTATGCCAAAAACTTCATATATGGTGTTTGAGGGGAATCCTGCACAAGTTCAAAGCCAATTAAGTGGTAGGCTGAAAGAAATCACCCATCCGTTTTAATATTGATAAAGGCGAGGAGCAGTAACATTGGGCTTCCTGTGCACTTACAGGTGCAGTAAGTAAGGCCACCCCCTTACTTACACTGTAGAGCAGTGGCTCTCAACCTTGGCCACACATTAGAATCACCGGGGAATCTTTTTAAAATACTGATTTCTGGGCCTCATCCTCCGGCAATTCTGTTTCTTTGTTATGGGGTGGGGCCATAACATTAGTAGCCTCTGTCTGATCCTACCTGGGCAACAGGAGTCCAGGTGACCGTGCGGGTACATTTATTAAAGCTGGGGACAGTGAAACAAAGAGGAGCTCAGCATAGAAGGAGCAGCAGGAGAGCTGCTTTGGTTCACTGGGAAGTGAAAGTAAAGGGGCCCTTGGAGACGGGTTTGGGAGGTTAGCCCAGGACATGCTGCTACTGCTCATTGCTCCCCTGGTTGCAAGTCTCATGGGGCCCCTTAGAGTTGAAGAGATCCGTGCCTGTGAGGGAAGAAGTTGGGGAAGGAAAGGGGGAAGGGAATGGCGTGGGCTGTTCCACAGAGGGAGAGTTCGCTCTGGGTCCTTTGTCTTTTGGGTTTCATCTCTCTCTTGCAGGCGGGAATCTTAAGAGAGGTCTCAGGGGAGAGTTTGAGCAGAATCTTCATCAGTTTTCCAGGCGTGCTCTTTCAGGGTCCTGGTCTCTACTGATTGATCAGTGCCAGGGCAGGGGGTCGTTAGTCATTGCAGCTGGTCCTGGCATTGCCCACCTGGTTTTGCTACTTTGCTGGCCTAGGGCAGAAATACAACTGAGGCCTAGATGTTACCTCTAGGGAGGTGACCTTCTCTATCTGGCTGTAAATCGCTCGGCCAGTTGTTCAGTTATCTCTGTGTTTCCCTGTTGTACTTGTGTTGGCTTATTGGCCTGTCTCAATATGATTTTTAATTTTTTTCCCTAAAAATAATGTGTTTTCATTTTTATTTTCTAGCACCATGTGGAAGTCGCTCAACAGGTTCAGAAGGCACTGTCCTATCACCAAACTATCCAAAAAATTACAGTGTGGGACATAATTGTGTTTATTCTATAGCAGTTCCCAAGGAATTTGGTAAGTAAGATTCATCTCATCATGTAGCATTGCATTACCGACATCTTTGTTTTTCACTACATGCTATTCAAAAATGTTAGTTTTTTAATGAAAATATTTACTATTCATAAAGTACTTTACTTTGCAATCCTTTTAGATAGCTTTGTAATAATAAACTTTGAGGTCATTTTATTCAATTTGAATTTACAGTCAAATACACAGGTGAACAACAATATAACAATGAAAACAGGATTGTTTTTAATTTTTAAAAATAAGTACATCCAGTAACTTTGCAAGTGCCTTCATACTTGAATGATATAAAATGGGAAATTACCAGAGCATAAAGCAGTCTGCTCTGCAAAATATGCAGTCAAATAGAGAAGTATTATAATAATGACCGAGGTACATAAATAAACAATCATATAAGTTTTACACTTTATTGACACATTCCCAGAAAGAAATAATTTTGTTTTTGAGCGCTTCGTTCCTGGGACAGCAACGAATAAAAAAAGACAGCAAAGGACATTTCAGCTCATCTTGTCCACCTGACAATCTGTTCCACATTGGCACTGAGAAGACTGTGTCCTTTGCTGCCTTTATGTCTCCCTGATCACAAGTCTTAGAGCCATTTACCTGGCTTCTAAAGGTTTTGGGTCTGAGATCCAGCTGGATCTAACCCAGGTTATGCTCTGTTTATGGGTGGGTGGGCAAAGGAAATTTAGTGAGCAGTAACATGTGAGAGAGAGGCTGACAGTTCAGACTTCTGGAATTTAGATTTATAGCATCGTGTGATATGGTAAAGGATTTGCTATAGCTGTAATGGATGTGTGGGGTCTGGGTGGCTATTTGAGCAGAAGGACATGGATATTGTCATATCAGGGTTTTTGGATCATATCTGGATGTTTCTGCTAATATATAAAATAAGCTGATGCTTCCAGTCCAATGTCTTATAACCAGATAGAACCTATATATCCTCCTTTTCTCTCTTCTGAAACATGTCCAAGGTTCTTACGTGAGAGAACATTGTCATCAGAAATGAAGTACTAACCCTTTTATTTCAACCTTGAACTAGAGCGATGATGCCAGCATTAGCAAGGTGTCTATTTCTGTACTCTACAAAACATTTCTTCTTCGGAGCATTTTGGTCATTTGAGTCAGAGTTGACCTCTTTGTGAAGAGGACAATAGTTTAGAAAGAGAAACATCATCTACTTAATTGTGTTTATTTTTTGCCTTTGGAGCCCAAGACAGTTCTTTCTTTGCTAGAAGAGTTATAGTCTCCAGCTGCCAACATTGTTACAGACAAAATGGTTGCGGACATGATCGTGGCATTGAAGGTCCCAGAGACTTCATGGCTATAGGAGTCCTCCTGAGAAGCCATCGACTTGTTTTATTATATTCTGTTCTTGGGATGCCATGTGGCCATAGGAATGAAAAAGAGGATAAATAGTTATTTTCTTCCCTGACACATAGATATGCTGATCACCTAGTGATGATTTATAGTAGCCTATGTATATTTAAAAAGAGAAAAAATAGTGATTAAGATAAAATTATATTAACAGATTTCCAAAGAATGGAATCCTGATTTTAACAGGCTTAATGTAAGGTAAATTTAATTTTTAATGTAAAAATTGTGCAACCAATAATTGGTGGTTTTTAACACAATTTTTTAAACAAAATTGGATTATTTGTGGATAAAATCAAATATACTTTGACTTATTAGTAAAGGAACTGAATTTATTTTTATAAATGTGTCATCATTCTTTATTTCAAAGTACATGTAAAGTTAAAGAGACTAGAATTCTAATTTAAGCTATCACATCCTAGCTTTCTGTCTTTGGAAAATCATATAATCTCTTTGAGACACAATTTCTTTATTTGCAAAATGAGGATCATTATGTCTATAGAGCAGAGTTGTTTCGAGGGATAAATGAGATTGTATATACAGAGTGTGTTTCACATAGTTCGTGCTCAATACCATTAGGTTTCAGAATGCCAGTTTTGGAGTAAGATTTCGGCATCCAGGCCCATCCCAATTAGCTTTTTTCATTGGACAAGTCACATCATCAGCCTGAGTCTTACTTTTAAAATCTATGAATGAGAGATGGTAAATGTCTACCTCATAGGGTTATTTTATAATTAAGTAGTATAATTTACATAAGTGATTGGCATAATAACACATAGCAAGTCATATTCACATGTGTGCACTGACACACACATTTTTCTTTATGTTCACATTCATAGACTCCTCCCCTCCAAAAAGATGAAATAAAATGTATTGCCAGATTGGACTGGAGCAGCCGTGGGTAAACTACGGCCCACGGGCCGGATCCGGCCCATTTGAAATGAATAAAACTAAAAAAAAAAAAAAGACCATACCCTTTTATGTAATAATGTTTACTTTGAATTTATATTAGTTCACACAAACACTCCATCCATGCTTTTGTTCCAGCCCTCCGGTCCAGTTTAAGAACCCATTGTGGCCCTCGAGTCAAAAAGTTTGCCCACCCCTGAACTAGAGTCTTAAGAGTAGTGTGGCTAAAAATAAAACATTTATATTGTGTGATTAAAGCACAAAAACGAATATCTTGTTTTTCACGTCTCCAATAGATCACCAGTTACCTAATGATTCCTTAAAATTTGGTAGCAGACTAGCAGAATTCAATAAATACTGATCATTGGCTACTTCCTATTGTTACCTCTGCCTACTTACTGTGAGATGATCAAGCAATAGTCACTGGGTTTGTACAAGTAAAATTCCTGGTTGCTTCTGCTTCTTCTCATCCTTACTTGGCCATAATTTCATCCTGTTGCCCCATTAGCTTTATTTTATGACTTTTAAAATATAATTTGATAATATATCACTTCTTACTATTTTCTCTTTTCTTGTCATTTATCCCAAATTGCAACCATGTCTTTCTTTATCTCTTTTATATACTGAATATATACTCTTAGAATTTTATTCTGTAAATTTATTTAACATAATATCTGTCAAATACACTCAGTTTATTCATTGGGATTGCCTTTTTTACATGGATTTAGGTTCAAAGTTGTTCTATAAGAAGAAAATCGCATATAGTCATTACCCTTGAAATACCTTAAATATCCCATTAAGATCATCTACATGATTTTGCACAAGCCATATTGTCTCTGAGTAATTTTAACAGGACATTTTACCTCCAATGTCAGAAGAGGTAACAGTTTCTTCAGATAAAACCAGACGAGCTATTCTGGTTTCTTACACAGGTCAAATTATTTCCATTATTTTTACCTGGTGTAGAAATGAATTCATATAAGTTAAATGTGCATATATGTGACTCTGCTTTACTGTTTGATTGAGTGACTACTATTTGATCTATCAGTCAATTCCTATCTTTCGGTTTATCTCAATAAATGAATTATCAATTATAATACCTTCATAAGAAGCATCATTGGATTTCATTTGAATTTCAGATATTAGGTTCACTTGAGGAATATTCATTCTGCTGGATTCCAAGTGTGTAATATACTTAGAAAAATAATTCTAGGTTAGTTGGATAGCATTTATTAGAATTTCACTTTAGTCTATACAATTAAATTATTTCAATTGGATTTGTAGATTAAAAACACCCTACTTTATTAACAAAATATGTTTTAATGTTTCTTCATCTTTCAAATTTAAATAACAGTTGCTTTCCCTTGTGGTTTGGTTGTTTAATCTTCGTGCATTATTTGAAGTGCCAAACACATTGAGGACAGATTTTATTTTATTTTTAGTTTGGTTTACATAAGGTGCTTTAGAATGTAAGAGAACTGTTGATATTTTAAGAGTTGAAATATTTTTATTAATATGCACTTACACCTAGAGTGTAGCAGCCAAAATCAAGTTGCAGGGAGGGGGGAATTAGTAAAATCAGTGAATAAACATTGTGAATTTCTATTTTAACAAACCCGGCTGGGGAAAAAAGGCTAGGATGGCAGCCAAAGTAGGATAGAAATCAGAGGCTAGTGTTTGTTTTTGTCTGTTTTCTTCTGGAAGAGAAGATAATGGAGCTTTTATTTTAGATAAAGACACACTGCAGAGGTCAAAATTGAATGGACTAATGGGTAATGCAAGTTACATGAAGCAATTGAAGGAGGAGGGATTTAAAAAATAGAAGCTCTTTAAAACTGTAATTCAGAAGAAATTATCATATTTAGTAACATAATACCTGAATTAGTTTCACATGGATTATTACCTTTTGAAATTATCATGGCTTCCCATTCTCCCATCCCTGTCTCCCCTTAATCACCCTCTCCTTACATTCTAGACGTGCCCTTGACCGGAATCGAACCCGGGACCCTTCAGTCCTCAGGCCGACGCTCTATCCACTGAGCCAAACCGGTGCTGGCCGTGTCTCTCCTTAATCACCCTCTCCTTACATTCTAGGGATTATCTGTAAAAGCATATGCATTTGTGTTCTGTGGCAATCATAACAGAATTTCATAAAGTTGGTGGCTTAACATAACGGTTATGTACTTTCTCACAGTTCTGGAGGCTAGACCTCTGAATCAAGGCATCAGTCTGTTCCCGTGCCCTCTGCACGCCCTAGGGAAGAACTTTCCTTGCCTTTTCCTAGCTTCTATGGACCCTGAGGAATCTGTGACATTGGGTGGTTTATAGCTGCATCATTTTAATATCTGCCTTTGTCTTCAAAGACCTTTCTCCCTGTTTGTGTGTCTCCTCTGTTTCTGTCTGTATCACTGACCCTCTCTTCCAGTAACACCAGTTTTTGAATTTAGGGCCCACCTTTTACCTAGTTTCATCTCACTGTGATGTTTAATTACATCTTCAAAGACACTGCATCCAAAAACAATAAAATTCTGAGCTTTTGGGTAGATTATAATTGGAGTGGGGGGACACAATTCAACCCACTACAGAGAATAAACTTCATTGCCACAGTTTTATATGGAAAATCTTAACATAAATTATTCTTTGTAAAGCATGTATCAAATATCAACTATGTAAAATGCACAATGACATTCAGATTTCTTAGAGAATTC